GGATGCAGATCTCCACACTGGTTTTATCACTTCCAACATCTTCAGCTCCTCCTTCTCTTTTTTTGTGAAAAAGAAACCAAGCTCCTGGGCCTGGCTTCCACATATTCTGTCACTTCTTTGGGCCTGACAACACGAGGGGTTTGGCTATGGACTCAGCAGGAGGAAGTTTGGGGAAGTTGTTTATCTCAAGAAAAAACCTAGGGCTGGGGATTTAGCTCAGTGGTTCTGCCGCCTGCCTCACAAGCACAAGCTCCTGAGTTTGATCTCCAGTACCAAAAAAAGAAGAAAGAAAAAACCTAGCTTTAAAGTTATATTTTCCAGTGCCCTTTACAATAACGGACTTAATAATACATCTGCTTCAAAATCACAAGTGCAGAATCCTTGATTCTAAATTAATTTTGCTGACACCATTTTATTAAATCTGACCAGAAGATGAAATTACCCAATATACTGTATTTGCAAGTATTTTCAGTTCTCTGGAGTCAAACAAAATATCGTTTTGACATTGAAACAAAACTTTGTACATTTTGTAAAATGTGCTAGTAAACGTCTCTAGTTAGAAACACGTAAGTTAAAGCACAGACATAGTTCACTAATAAGCTGAGGATTCCTGAGGACTGGCTGAGCTGTTTGTGTTCTTTCTAAAGCACACTCCATAATGTAAGACTTTTCTTCTCAGAAATACTCAGTGGCCCTTTTTCCGAGGAGAGTAAACCCTGAACCTCTTATTTTGTCATTTGAAATTGATTTGTCCTCAACTTGTCTGTCTACTCTTATATCTAATTTCATATCAATTCAGCCAACATTGAGGCTCAGCTTTGAGCCTTTTTGTGCCTTTTGCTACAGAACATTGTATTGCTTTCCATTCCTTGTGTCTACTGTGTTTTCCTGCTGTTCTCTCTTCTTGCAGTGTCTCACCCATTCTTCTCCTGTGGAAGTGTTGCTAGTTCTCACAGCACAGATCTGGTACATGTCTAGCAGACAGAAGTATAGACAGCTAGGTTAGGTAGAAATATTATAAGCAGTCGGACAGGGCTGGGCCCTTGAGGGAATCAGCAAAAAAGAGGAGAACATATCACAGCTGTGGTTGAAGTTGCATTTGCTGAGGGCCAGGCCTCAAGATGAGGATGGGGTGACTGAGCCTGCAACTCCACAAGGGATGAACAATGGGTTGGGGATTGTGCTCAACTGGCAGACATCGGTTGCCCTGTTGGCTGGAACTCTCTGGTTCTTTTCTTCCTAAAAAGATCTTTGTTCTTTCCATGTACACTTGCTATGTGACCTGCTTCCCCGTTGGACCAATATTACCTAAAGGGCTAAACTTGTAATCTTATTGGTTGATCATAGTTTTGTCCCTTGTTGTACTCACCTTGTGATTTTGCTCTATAAAACTTTCTCTGTAAAGTGGGGTCCACGGTAACCCATTTTTGAGGTCCCCTCCTGTCTCTCCCTCAATAAATATTTCCTACTCTTAACCTATGTTGTTCCTTAGAATTCATTCTTCAGTTTTGGGAAACACAAACGCAGCGTATCTGACATCTAGCAGGGTAGGAGTCACATTTATTTCCCCTATATCAGAAGGGAGGATTAACACAAAAAGATGTGTGTTCTAGAACTAGGCTGTGACCCCACTCAGCCCCCTAAGTAATGGAAATTAATTCTGGCCAGAGTAGAGATAAAAGGTTAAGTTCATCAGAAGGATGCTGGGCAGCCATAGCTTCTGGGAACCAGGAACAAGACAGCAGGTTTGAGAACCTTCTCAGAAACTTAGCATAGGTGCTGGGAGAAAGAGCCTGCAGATTCCACTCTGACTGGATATCTGGCCCTGGTGGACAAATGATCATGGCCAGGGAGGTTCTGGCAGTGATGATTTGGTTGTGGATTAGGCTGGGTCACCTCCCTGAGAAATATCTGCTGCATTGAGTCTCTGAACTTAGTTCCTATCGGTTAAGTGGATATTTCTTTTTTATATTTTTGACTTTAAAAAAAGATATAAGCAGAAATATTTGAGTCCTATCTCAAAATTTAAGAACATAAGTCAGAAGAAGACATAAAATTACTGGCAACAAATAAATTTTAAGAATTAAAAAAAGTAGTAGGTTATAATAATGAGATAATAATAATAATGAGAATTATAGCCAGAGTAGTTCTCTGCCAGGCATTGTTCAAGGTGATGTACATATATCTTATTATTTAATCCTCATAAAACTTCTAAGGGGTCAAGAATATTACTACTCTTACTACCACTCCTACTATTGTATTTGGTAAAGAAAAAAATGAAGCAAGATAGCTTAGGATAATGCTACTTAAAGTACGGCCCCACGGATAGCTCTCTGTAATTGGACTGAGACAGATTACATGTAGATATTTAAGAGTAAATGATTAGAATTTTTTTTTTTTGGTACCGGGGATGGAACTCGGATCCTTGCGCTTGCATGGCAGCTGACGAAACCACTGAGCTAAATCCCCGGCCCTTGACAGTATTTTTATTTCTTGTGAATCAGATAGTATGGAAAGCTGGGCTGGGGTTTCGATGTCTTTGCCCTTTTTTTATCTTTTTATTATGGGAATTTAAAAAATATACAAAGTAAACGGAATAGTATAAAAGTCCCATATAATATCTGTGGTGGATTAACCAATGGCCAGTTTAAGTGGGAATGCCCAGCTGAACGGAGCCATTGTGGCTCTGGGCATGGAAGACCACCTGAGGATTGTCACCAGCAGCATAAAAGGAGAATAGGAGGGAAGACTGTATGCTGTTATTTCCTGGGGGAAGCTTTGTTGTGGCTGGTTTTCCTGATGTGAGCTCAGCTGTCCTCACGGCCGGAGGAGCTGGGGTCCTTGCTGTCAGGGATGACTGCTGTTCTCTTTGAGGGAGCTCTGGTCTTTCCTTCCTGGCTCTATTGTAGATCCCTCAGCCTTCTGGCATAGATCCTTCACTCTGTCAGTGCAGACTTTCTAGCTTCCACTATTGACCGCAGGCTTTTCTGGTGTAGACCCTTGATACGGACTTGCAAAAGACATTGCTTTGGGCTCTAGGCCTCTGGCTGGACTCGTGGAGGACAGTGCTGTGGGATCCAGGCCCTTGGCTGAATTCTTTGGATCTCTAGCATGGACAGATCTCTTGCACTCGTCTACATTTGACTTTTGGGTGAATATTATAAGATAATCCTGTAAATTTATGTGTCCTGGTATTAAATCTATTCCTTTGCAAATCACTAGTACAATATCCTAAAGTACTAATATTCTGTCATTTTTATTATGTTTAACTCATTCCACTCCCCATCCACCACTTATTATTTTTTAAGGTTCTTTGTCTTGAGGTAAAACTGGTAGAAATTGAAACGCTGCAAGTCTAAGTTATGGGATTGGTACGGAAATACACATGTGTAATTCATACTCTTAAATGATATGAAATATCTCAGAAAGTTCCCTTGTATCTCCACCCAGTCAACGGCCCCTTCTCTTCTTAGTAACAAATGTTCTAAAATTTTTATCTTAGATTAGGTAAGCTTATTCAAGAACTTTATATAATGGAATTGTACAGTGGACATTCTCATTATGCTTATTACTCAGCATAATGTCTTTGAGGTTTATCCCTGTTGTGTGGGTCAGTAGTTTGTATTGCTGGCCATGTTCCACAATTTGTTCACCCATATATTTCCTATTTAGACTGTTGTGAATAAACCATGTATGAACATCTCGAACAAGTACATTTGTGAGTATATTTTCATTTGTTTTGGGTAAATACATATAAACAACATTACTTGTCATAAGATCCATGTATCTTAGAACTTTGGAGACCTGCTACATTGTTTTTGTGAAGTAGTTCTACCACTTCACACTCCCAATGGCAATGGTATAAATTTCCATTGCCCCACATCTTTGCCTACACTTTGTGTTGTCAGTCCTTTTTTTTAGTTATTCTAGTGGGCATATGGTAGTATTTCATTGTTGTTTTCATTTGTATTTCCCTAATGACTAATGGTGTAGAGCATATTTTCATGTGCTTATTGGTCATTTTGATCCATTGTGGAGTGTCTGTTCAAGTCTTTTCCCCACTTATTGAAACTGAGCTCTTTTTATTATTGATTAGTAGGAAATATATATTCTATAATCAAGTCCTTTGTCACATGTGTTTTATTAAAAAATTTTCCAGTTACTGGTTTTTCTATTCATTTTTGAATGATAGTATATTAATTTGTGTATAGCAAGATATAGGCATTGTATTACTTACCTATTGTAGGAACTTACCCTAAAACCTGGTGGCTTTAAACAAGAATAAGCATTTATTTATTTATTTATTTGTTTGGGGGTTTTTTTGTTGTTGTTGGGTTTTTTTGTTTTTGTTTTTGAGGCAGGGTCTTGCTGTGTAGTTCAGACTGGCCTTGAACTCATTATGTAGCCCAGGCTGGCCTCAAACTCATGGCGATCCTTCTGCCTCAGCCTCCCTAGTGCTGGGATTCAGGCATGCACCACTATGCCCAGCAAGAATAAGCATTTACTACTTCACACAGTTTCAGTAGATCCAGGGTCTGGGAGTGACTTAGCTAAGAGTTTCTAGCTCAGGATCTCCTGAAGTTGCAGTCAGGATGTCAGGTGAGGTACAGTCAAAGGAAGGTTTGGATGGGTTGCAGGGCTAACCCCAAGATGGCTCACTTACATGCCTAGCAAAGAGAGCTGATGGC